TACCTTACTTTCTTGAGTTGAATGTTGACATCGTTTGATGTTGTGCATTTCAGTCAGTGTTTTGCAATTTGTTAGAACTGATAAAATTCTCATTGTTAATGGCGAGTTCAGACTATACTCATCAGAAACCAACCATTTAGATAATTCCCCGCATGTGTCAAACAAAACGCCTGTTCGCGAAGCTAAACATATCCTTTTGACACTAATACGGCAGTTGAAGTTCAAAGACGTCATACATGTATTCGTTTGATACAGTTCCCTTTCTTATTTCGTCATCATTCAGCACGTGTCATCACTTGGTTTTCTTTTGTGTATAAATTTATAATAAAGAATAATGGCATAGTTTATTTCTCCCGTTGTTAAAAAAGGTATGTCCCTTTAAATCTATTTGTTCCTTCGTATAGATTAAGTTTCTACACATAAAATAATTGTTTGTAGAACTGCTATTTCATAAAAAATCAATTCACAAATGTGAACAATTGTTTGATAGAAAATACCACTGCGGCCATGTGAAAACTCATGTGTCCGTGTCCATCTCCTTGTCAACAGTTTAGATAACACTATAGTAGTGTCCTTAGGTAACGTCGTTCTTTGAGGCATGTATTATTTTATTTCAATCTATTCTATTCATCTTATAATCATTTAAACTCTCATAACTGCTCCAACCTGTTGCAAAACCTAGATTTAATAACCGAAAATCGTCATGATTATTTTGTAAAAGCTAAACCTAGCTATGTATTCGGTGTATAGTAAATATTAATCTGAAACATATAACGAAATAAAAAAAAACTTCCACTACTAGGAGATTTGTATTTATCCTCAATGCCTCTAAATAAGTTTTAATAGTATTTGTTACAATATTCCACCGAATTAAGTTAGGAACACTCCCAAAAATTAATTTAGGCATTGACCAGAATCAATAGGTCACTAGTCATCTACTTGAAGTATTTTCCTATACAATTTATAACAGAGATATCTTATACAAGAAAAACTATTTTTTGACAGCGAGTTGGACGTACAACTCTTATAAGATGTATATCTTAAAAGTGAATTATCTAATTATGACTTTATCTCGTATTGCAAACTGTTACACGTTGCCTTTTTGTGCAAACTTTCATCATGAAAAGATTCTGTTGAAATAGAATGTCCTCCGTTCTGATTAGCAATTGCGTCGTAGTCTACATTTTGTTAGGTATTATTGACATAGCTTGATCTCCATAGAAATCACAATATCCCGATAGAAAGGCTAACAAAGCAGCTCATTTTAAATCCATAGCGAACAAATGTTATATGCATCGTCAGTCAATTTCTCAATAACAAACATGAACCAGCCAATCACATTCGAGCCAAATGGCGAAGGCAGGCCCAGTGAATAAATAAGATATATCGAATGCATTAAGCAAATAAAATACACAAAAGGATTGCTTACGTAAAAAAGCTGGTATAAAACCAAAGGATAGCCGTTGTCTGGACAGCGACCAACGCTCCTTGAAGAGAGACGGAGAGATATATTTGAATATTTTTATGTTGACTTTTGGATCAAAACGATATTTGCAATAGAAAGAGGTGACAAGGAAAGCCCATTTTTATTTTACCACCCCTTTTTCGGGACCATGGCAAAGAGCTTCCATATTTTCTACGGTGTTGTGACATGGATACTCTTTCTAGGAACAACAGGCCGATGGAATGCCGCATATGCTTACACCTACGGCGAGTAAGTGATACTGAAATATATAATGTTTGAGTAGCAAATTACTGATGGCAATAACAATATTTCAAATTAGAAATGTTACATAACAAAGTTGAATTATAACACACCAATGAGGAAGATCATGCTTTCCTTTCTTCTTCGTTTGGTAAATAACATGGAGAATCACGTTTGATATACGACAAACGGAATTAGTAATATCAAAATCTAATCAGAGCCGGAATTTTCGTGGTTTGGTATGTGTGCGATAGAAGTAACATCAGTGGTAAAATCTTATATATATATATATATATATAAATATATAAAATATATGTAAATGGATAATGAAGTATCAAAAATTTTGTTTTTATATAAAGACGGTTATAACTCGATAAAAAAAATGAAAAAAATGGATACCGCTTGTGCATGAAAAGACTTTAGGAAAACTCTTATAAATACAAATTGATATTATATTTTCTTTTATTATCATAAAATGAATATGAAAAGGGCGTTGACTACTGCAAATAGAGAAATCACAAAGTCAGATAAAAATACAACCGATAAGAGTATATTAATAGACCATATTTTTATCATATAGTATTCTGTATTTTCACCAAACTAAAATTTTTCCAAAGGTTCATGCTGTCGAACATTAACAATTTAATTTAATTGAAATACAATTCTGTTGAAAAATTTAATTTACATTCAAATTGTTAAACAATTTATAACGAAAAGTAACATATTATGTATTAAAATCGATATATGGGTTTGGTTTATAGAGCCAAATGTCATATGAATATAGAAAAATGCATATGTTCATTTCAAGATTACCCATTTATGTATCGATGTAGTAATACATATCGTCATTTAGAAATAAGTTTGTCGAAAATAATACGATACGCGTTCGTAATGCATAAATATTCATAATGAAATATAAACAATATTTTGGTATCCTTTCATTTACCATTTACGTGTCCAATGATAACATTTAATTTACTAGCTTCATTACATTGTCCCATGATATCATTTCATTTACTAACTTTAACAGAATGCCCCATGATAACATTTTTATTTGCTTATCTCATCGGGATGTCCCATTATATTACTTCATTTTACTGACTTTATCAGAACGTCCCATTGTAACATTTCACGAAAAACGTTTTTAGAATGCCCCATCATATCATTTAATTTACTAACTTCATTGAAATGGCCAATGTTTACACTTCGTTTACTAACTTTATTGAAAAGCCCTATGATATCATTTCATTTGCCAACATTATTGGAGTGTCTGATCATATCATCTCATTTATTGATATTATCGCAATGTCCATGATAGCATTTCATTCATTAACTTTAACGGAATGTCACATATTAATATTTCGTTTATGAATTTTATTGGAATGTTCCAATATATCATCCCATTAACTAACTTTAAATAAATTTAGTATAAGCTGTTGTATTTCAGTACAATAACATATTATGACTACAGATTCTATTGTCTTTGTCGCAGTGAACAATAGTTTCATTTTATCATATTGAATTACTTTAACCGGCCAACTCCAAAGCCGATGACTGGAAATCACCTACACTGAATTCATTCTGAATGAAACGATTTTTGCATCACTGCATTTTTGATTACTGGAAAATAAAATATACTGCCAATTCAACGTACTTGTCAATGTCACCTTTTCATAAAAAACAAATGACGTTTAAACCCGAATACCACACTTACACTATTTCAGAAACCACTGTATCATGTTCGTTCTTTAAGTGATTACTTTTATAAAGTATAAAACAATTTCAATAAATTATCAAATGTGTCATGCAGTTTTATAGTACGAGTCTGAATAAAGATAATTGGAAGTTGCCATTCAGGTAGTGACTGTTATTTTGCTTACATATTAACATTGGAGTGCAAAATATGTGTTGAAACACTACAATTGCAAAGCTGCTGCAATATAGTATGTGCATGACTCCTCTACGCTTTGAAAGATTACAGGTCATAAAAACCTGAATTAGATTTCAACATCTCGTGTAAAGGAAATTACCCTTTGTAACTTCACAATACAAATCCATTAAGTAGATCTATATATTCTGACACACCCGGATAGTTTCATCCTTGACAGCTGTTGCTTCACTTAACAAACTGATTTGAATATGTTAGGTTTAGTGTTCTTTACGTCACATGTTTGATAGAAACAACTTACACCGCTACACAGCCGGTGATTGATATCATTCTTAAATAAAATGTTGTTCAATACACGTAAACAGTTAAAACACATTATTATGCGGTAGCGTTTTAATGTTTTCAAACATTAGGACGTTGATGAAAATGATGAAAAACTGGTTAAAGAGTTACACTTTGAAACGTCTGAGTTAAGCTCCTTAACAATGCATGAAAATTTATCATTGAAGTCTTATGGCATGCGATGGATCAAGTAGCTAAATTTTAAAGTGATATAAAATATATAGCATGAAAGTTTAAATATTGGAATTAAGAGAAACGCGATGATCAATCAACCTGTTTAAATCAAATAAAACGATCCCTCCAAAAAGTAGCACGCTTAGATACAATAGTTATGTGCTGTTTCATTTCATATATTTCCAACCCTTTCTTCCAAAATGATTTGTCTAAGTTAGTAATTGATAGGATTTTTTTCCTTTTGTTTCAAAATAACTTATATGACGCCATTCGTGTGTAATGGAGAGATGTTACGGTGAAAGCTACAGTCAAGATGTTTGCTTCATTATATGTTAACGTATAATGGTTAAATAAATTTAAGTTTTATTCATTTTTACGAGAATTGCGAAATGACCTTCGAACTTCTTTCGGAACATTTCCATCGGGTTGATAATGTTTAAAGAGTACTATAGAATGATCAACTGAAATTTTGTCTGGGAGTTGGCATAATTCAGACTGTTAGCTACTAGTGTTTTATCAGTAGATAATGTAGAGAACGTCACTCGGTAACCGTTCGGTTACCTTAGCGGTGGGTAGTGTTTTATCGCTTGCGTCAATTTTGAGGTTGATAACGTATATTCTTTCTCTCACTTGATCACTAGAAGTTTCTAATGAACTTTTTGGCATTGATAGTATTAAGAATAGATTCGCGCACGTCTATGACCATATGAAAAACAAAGCAAACATCTCGCACGCTACGTACTGAAGTGCTAGTAGTTGAACACTGGCTACTTGTCTGATGAAGGTGACCGTGTAGTCATTGAAACGTCACACCCAGATTAAGTACTAGTTGTGATAAAGGAACCTCTATTCTCCTAAATTTTCGAACTTATTATCACTCTTTTCAACCCAATGAAAGCACGCTACGGAGGAAACCAGAGCACCATGGGAAAACTCCAAGACCTGTTCATCTCTTCGCAGGAATCCAACCCTGGATATCTATATGAAAAGCGAGCGCGCTATCACTTAACCATACGACCACCAATGTATAATGGTTGTTATGATATTATAGATAAGGCAGTTAATTATATATTGAATAAAATTGAATGTATGAAGCATTTCAAGTATGTGTAAATGCAGAGTATAAACAGTACAAAAGTATCAAGATATCTTTACAAGCAAGCATGCATGAATCAACAGTAGATCATAAAAAAAATAACCTATTACTTAACATGGATCTGGAAAAAAACATAATGGCATCATTTTCTCATTTACACTTACTACCTTAATATACCACGGTAATATTTAAGTCACTCTAGTTAAACATATCACCGTATTAAAACCGTTATACACTAGCCTACTCGCAGAAGGTTTTGTATTAAATCCATTGGAATTCTGTAAGTATATTGAATGCAATATTTTGAGTTAACCACTCGTGCGACTTCATACATGTAAACTAATTTTCACAATTTAGTAAAAGTTGATAACAGAATGCGGAATATCAAATTTTGCTGACTAACGTAAATGCAAAAAGTATGTTTCATTTTCAGGGAAAATATCTGTATGGTCGACGTGACGAAAACTAATCAAACAGAAGCTCCATGTAAAGACTATCTAGATTTGATACTTCTTGATTCCCGATACACGTTGCTGATGAAGGAAAGTTTTACCACACAAGAGGAATATGACAACCGACTAAATATATTAATGGGTAAGTACAGCGATTTTTTCCCTTTTAGTTTTTTATAATGTTTTATATTAACATATAGTACAGCAACGATTATAATCAAACAAAGCACACATAGAAACATGACCGAAACATGATTGATTTTTAAAATATGTTGTGCTTCAGACGTTCAAAGATGTATTGTTATTATCTCGTGCTAATTTGGATATTTATTTTCATATTTGCTTCAGATATGACCTTATAATCTCAATGTCCCCTATAGTTGCGGATGTACTGATTTACTATTTTGCTTTTAGTTAATAAATGCGATGAACGATGAAGTATTTTCATATCCTTAAAAGTTATCGACCTTATATTTCATGATTCAATATAACTATCTAAAATTATGTAATTCAGTATTTATTTAGTCTCTCTGAATACACCGCCGACCGCCAAAACTTGTCCCATCAATTTTAGTCCAGTAAATACGTATATTGTGAATGTGAAACGGGGACACAAGGGGCGCGTAGTGTTTTGTTTACGACGAAGCACGACTAGAAGGAGTGAAATACCCTGTTTAAGACATAATCTATATGTCCAGAGTTATTATTTGATCCATTTATATAGATTTTTCTTCATTAAATGGAATTTGTAAGTAGGTATCATTAAAATTCTTGCGGATGTACACTTACTAACAACAACTCGAAATCAAACCGATGAAGCATTTGTTACCCCCACATCATAAGAAATATAATATCTATATGAGTGTATTCGATGCTATACTAAAACCACATTTCATAAAAGTAACAGCTGTTCTAACTGTGAACACATGTACGTATCCTGACCAAGAGATGTACGTCCGTATCATCGATTAACGATCATCTGGTGTAGATTTCTCACCAATTGCGTTTTATTTAAACAGCTTTTTTGTTTATTTTTCAAATTAATATAGAACAATATAATTTCAAGGATATCGCAAAAAAGATCAAATGAGTAGTATTCGTTATGGGTTCGAGACCAATATTTGACACTAATGACTTATAGGGCAACGTTTTCTGTAAACTTAAAAAAGAAGTTTAGAGAAATTTAGAAATAATGGTCTAAGAACTAGTTTTATACAGAACAGGATACTATCAAAACTGGTGATTATTTATGAAAAAAAAAAAAAAAAAAACGAGAGTAACGCACCAATTGACAATTGTCGCACATTGAGAAAATGTTTGGTTTGAATTATCAACTAACAGCACTTATAAACAAACAAAACATACAAACAGAAAATCAATTTTGATTTCATCCTTGTCGTTGTGGCAAGATCGTCTTAATATATAACATCACTTTACCTCATTAGACGTCACAAAATTGGACTGTTCGTCCTCCGCGCACACCCGCCGATATGACGCTTTTTCAGGATTTTCACATCTACCGCCATGACACTTTCTTCAAGTTTTTGAAGATAAAAAAGTTTGCGCTTCGTAGGCAAGGTACATTTGGTCCTCATGATTTATGAATGATATAGTTTTAATACTGTACTGATCATGATGTTGACTTTGTTATAACTTATATTTTTTGTTTTTTAGTTTTATTTGATGAAGGTTGATTGTGCTGATTTCTCAATGTTTGTTAATGTGTATCAAAGTTCCTTGAAATGAAAATATTCTTTCAAACAAAGCGAGTATAAAAAAACCCCAAAATATTCATGTTTATAATTATCAATTGACTAAAACGAAATATTTCCATAACATATTTATTCATTTAGCATGTCATGGTGACATTATCTAATGCATTGGAGATCAGAAATAGTAGTAGCTATAGTGAAAATATTGTAAATTTTGTATATATATATATGGAAGTCTGGTTTAATCTCATAGAACTATGCCTTTATAGACATAATTACTGGAAGAAAAGTTTAACCATGATACTTCAAGGAAGATAGGCATGTAAATACATTTAATGTAATTACTTACACTTTTATCTATCTGAAATACTGTGTATACCTTATCTACTTTCCTCAACTACAAATATGATTATAATAAGTAAGGACTATTACTATGCAATACATTCAAAATAAAGAAGTAGGTATAAAGTCCTTTCGATTTGTTTAAATCCTCATATCGATAGGATAGTAATTGCAACATCTTGGGTATTTCAAAGGTTTTATTTAGTCAACTTCATCATAAAGCTATTTATCATTTGGCTTGTTGGCGATAAATATATGGCTGTGTGTATTTTGTTATTTTTTCTTTTTTTTTTTTTTCTTTTTACCTATTTTGATTTATTCACATCATGGTCGTCAAATTTGAAATAAGAATTAAAGAAGATATAAAATCGCTTAAAATTAAGAAAAATAGCCTCTGGTTCTCTTGTTTTAGTAATTTTTGCATTCCAAAGTGTAGGAGTATGGGGAAAGTAATATAGCTTAGCGGTTATTTGTTAACATTTTTCAATACGTTTAGCCTCTCAGTACATCCAGTACTTTGATTTTTTTCTTTTATCTATTAACAGGTAACGATCCCAAATATGTAGATAAGCAGTGCATATATTCAAGGTAAGTGACAAATTTTATTTGCCAATGAAACATGTATTTTAAATACGTATGACGATATTTGTAGAGGGAAAAAATGATAGTGGGCAAAATATATCGACAAAATCTGAACGATGTGTTTCAAGTATATAAAAATGTTAATATATTTGCTATGGAACATAGAAGGAATTGAAATATTACATACAACTCTATTGATTTATATTAAATAAATGTAACATCGGTACTCTACACTTGCAAAAATGATGTTTAGAAATTGTTACCAATGTCCGTTGTGATTTTTATGTGCTGGACAGAAAAAGTTTGGGATTATAAACATGTGTTATTTTTTCTGCCATTAAGATAAAATTAAGCTTGACACGCAGTTACCATTGTTTAATCACCGATGTATGAGCAATAACCTTTCTTTCGGTAACGATTTTGCCTTTGTAAACTATAGTAAAGGCACGGCAAGCCACCATGTAACACATGGTTAAAATCAAACTGTCAATAATGTATTTATGTTCGTTCGACACCTAGGGGTTATCAAAGAGTGTTGCATAATTGAAACGGAAAACCTTCATTTTTTATTGTCATTTACAGAATTAAAATGTTTTCGTCATAGTCATTTGATGTGCTTGCCTGTTCATTATAATGTTATCAAAGTAGTTCTATTATCAAGCGCGCACATTTAGCTTTAAATCAGGTGTAAAGAATCATAGTAGTACAATGAACTGGCTATGAATTTAGCAATATAAATAATGGTTTAACTGATACCTCCGATTTCCCGGCTACCGCACAATATCGCTACATATATGTGCTGCCAGTACGGGACAAACATATCATGAATACCAATAAATATGTATGTGCATGTACGTCGATTGGCATTCGCGATAATGTAGTATTTGGTTGAACATTGGATGTTCTAAATGCTTGGGATGCACCCATGATCAACATTGACATACTACGGCAACGTTAAGCTTAATTCGTGCATTACTAATCTTCGAACGTAATTCGCTTTACCATATCAAGTTTATAAACCCATATGTAGCAAATCTGTAAATAATTTTTGTATTTTTAGTATTAGGACTTTATGTTTTCGTGCATTCTCTGCGTAGTGAAATGTCACGTTACCATAATGTTGCTTTTCAATATTCTACCTTTAAAATACACCACTTCTATTACAAAATCTAAACCAAAATCATGAACTGCTTGGTACGTGTCTCATAAACACTGATATAGTTGATATGTCTCAAACATCAAAGTGACGTTTAGTATCCATATGCCCTTTATGTTATGTCAAGTGACAAGGATACTTTTTTTGGCATAGTGCGATCTCTTAATTACATAAGTGTGATGCCATATTTATATGCCGGAAGTATGATTGTATGAGCCATTCGAAAAGTACTGCCCATCTAATTAGTTTCCATAATTCATTTTAAAATGAGCGAGTTAACCAAACGATGAGGCAAGGTTACGACATTATTTGTATGAAAATGAGATATTATGTTAATTTTTCGTTGAGATTACTGAGGTGAACTCTGACCGATAAAATACTATCACGTTCTCAGTACGCAACAACGGTACCAATAGGCAACCTTACTGGCATCCAACATTTCCATCTTCATATCGCAAAAAGAACAGGAATGTCTCCGAATGAGATCACTAAAAGCATTAAATCGGGAGCTCTAAACACTGTAGATTGAGAAAGCATGAATGTTGCTATCCAGAAAAGCACAATTCACCACATGGAAATTGAAATAATCAAGATTTCACACATCTACAATAGCCGTGTCCTTGATTTCATTTGCATTTGCATTTTGTTTAAAACCAATCGCTTCTGAAATTACCTTTACCATACCGGTGAATTTCATTCAAAATTAGAGTATTTGTATGTTGGAGTGCATTTTCAATAGTTCGGGTATAGTACATATATTATGTATGTAAATAGTATCCTGATCTACACGTACACTCGTATCATAACATGCATTATAACGGAATCTGCCGCGGTGGGCTTAAATCACGCAACCACAAATAAAACGTATTATCATCAATTCATTCGCCTCTCATATAACACGTCACAAATAAAAAATATACATCTAAAACAAAGCAAAACCTGCAAAATGGAGAGCGAATTTGGCCAAAGCTTCCCTCCCTTTCAGGAACATCGCTGATGTGCTCTATAGGGTTCAGATCGGGGTATTGTGCAGACCACACCAAAATTGTTCTGCCATATTCAAACAATATATCGACAAACTATTGTTCTACCGTCAAACCTAATCATGGATGTAGCCAAGTCCAATCAAGGAGACAGATGCAATGATATCCTATTAGGACGGGGCCTGTATAAAGCTTCCGCGCACATATTTGGTGACGTTTCAGACTGCTACGGATTGTCTGACGGTGTACACGTCGGTCAAGTCATTGGTGTTTTGGTTGCGGGAAGAAACCATTTTTAAAAAAATGCAGCAAATGTATAAGACGGGTTTCGTGAGATCGGGCGCTCGTTGGACAGTCGGAAGTTGCTGCGGTTGCATCAAAGATTGCCTCAAATAACTGTTGGCTACAACAAAACCGATTTGGCCCTTTTCCTCTCAGCTCTCGACTGACGCGGCATTGCGTAAAACTTTAAGAGATAAAGATAGTGCATGAGGCGTATTTCGAAATTCAACTGAACAAAGGTCGAGTAAAGTGAAAGATATAGTTTTGTTCTATGAGACAATATTTGAATTTATTACATGGATAGATTTAGAAAATGATGGCAACTAATCCAGATATTCCTTTAGAATGCATTGGTAACTGAAACGTATCTGCATAATTAACCGAGGTAACGCGATGTTTTGTTAAGTATATATACAATGTATAGATATGCATATTAAACGAAAAACCTATCCTTTATACAGGTAATTGTTACAGCCCGAGTCACACAACTTGCCACTCTCTGGGGGTGACGCTATACAATTGAGAGACTAATTGAGGCTGGGTCCGAATGTATATCGTTCAACATCAAATGAAAAAAGACCTTAGCAATCACCAATCAACATTTAATGCTCATGTTTTGTCATAACTGCAGGTTTTTTCTCTGTTTCTTTTCAAATCGTAATGTTACTAGAACCAGTTTTACCGAACCGTGCATAATATGCGATCATTTCGCAATTTTTTGCGCATAAACTGTATTATGCGGACAATGCATGCACATTGTTCGTTTGTTTTTGGTGCGTTGTGCGATATCACAAATGTAACATACACAAATGTCATCATATGTGTTAACTTTTGATTTTGAAAATTATTGAATGTATAACTGCTAATAAGATTGATAAGATGCGTTGGTAACTTGGCCTGTTCAATCCTAATGTATTCCTATTTTGCAATAGATCCTACACAACTAAAATACCAGGATGTTGCGCAGGATGGACGGGTTCAGACTGTTTAACAGGTAAACCACGTTTTATTACGAAGATAGTTAAAAAATGTGTAATGTCCCTAATGATACTTTTTCATTCCAATATATTACCTGACACCGTTATTAAATATTTGTTTTCTTTGATTCTCATGTTGTTTTTTATGTTCACAATGTTTCATTTTTTTTTTTTTTCTTTAAGCAATTTGTGAGCCTCCATGTTCCAACAATGGCAGATGCACTAGCCCTCACGTGTGTACCTGTCAGCCGGGTTTCACTGGAACATTCTGTGATGAGATCCAGTTAGGTAGGCTAAGTTTGCAATATCTTAAATGTACATGCCGACTTATTTATCTTACATGTGTAATACATATAAATTCATAATACATAAAACAAACATTGTATATGTAAAGTAAGACAATTTCATATTATCAATACAAACAAAAATGCTATTAGAACTAGTGAATTTGCTAATATTTTAGCTTTTCGCACGCATTAAACAACTATAGCATTACGTTCTAAAAGCCTGTAATCCAAAAGATCTGCCATGGTCAGCTCTTAACGGAATAAGAAACACATACTTATGTATAAAACTTATGTTATCCCTTTTGTGCCAACACAATGCCAACAGTTTTTAAACAAAGATATACGTAAATGTAAAATGTAACGACCATGTACATGTGTGAATATACAATATGTACGATATCTATTTTATATTTCGTTACTATGTTCAGTACTCTTTCCTGATGAGATATAGGTTTTTGTGGAAAACAATATAGAGATAAATATAGGTGGATCATTCTTTTATCAAGAATCAATGTTCTCTTTATAACAGACGTGGACGCAGTTAAACAATACTGTTACACTAGCCCCTACTGCCATGGCGAGAAAGCGACAGAATTCGCTAATCAACTAACATACGAAGACGAATGCTGTAAAGGTGGTGGTGCTGGCTGGGGAGCTAGTGGTGGCAAATGTGAAGACTGTTCTGGTAATTAGTGATTAAATATTAACAAAATCTTATTTTTAATACAGAATTCGACTCGTGATATCAATTGACTTAACTAGACACCAAAGAGACGTAAATATTTGCACAACGGTTCGCAGAAAGGGGAACATGGGAAAATGATTTTGGAAAAAATGTATCTCAGCAAGATGAGATAATCGCAAATCGACCACAATGTCTATTTTATTTTAAGTTTTAAATGGAAATTGTAATAAAAAAAAATAGCAGATCGTCCTTCGACCATGCTGGTTATACAATCAGTATCAAATCGAATTGCTAGCAACTAGGATCCACGATGATCAAACTACAGCGAACAGCTGATTCGTACTTTTATGAATGGGGGTGATGCTAAGATTCTAAATTCATGAAACCCAACAGGCGACAAAGAAACAAACATGAACGAAAGTAATTTTGAAACTAGAATGGGATGAGCAGAACACAATTAGAATTACATGCTGGCATTAGAGTTGAAACTCTCAATTCTAGGAACGAATAAAAATAACACATTTAAGATAAATAGGGGACGACTCTAGAAATAGTAATAACAATTTTAAATGCCGACCGCTATTAATAAATAAAGATTCAGCAAATTGAGTGAAATATTGACAGGTATCAATGTAATGTAAATTCGTATGGTTATGCTAGGCGAAACAATCGTTGCTGCATATGCAACTACTACGGATTTTTTAAAAGGACTTTATTCATAATACTACATTGTTAGTACCAGCTAATACTGATCAATCTTTTTTAACAATGTGATTAAAACATTATAGTTATTTATGGCGGAGAGGGAGTTGTTGAACAGACAAAGGACGTTGGCTTCAGAACATGCCTTAACTGTGGGATCAGCTACTACAGAACATTCGATGGTCGCGAATATCAGTTCCCAGGGAATTGTAAATATACTCTTGCCGCCGACATTCAAGGCAAATGGCAGGTTGATGTTGAACCTATCAACTGCGATAATTTTGAAACCTGCAGAAAGGTGAGTACTTTTATTTGCTTTATATGTATGCATTGCGTTATTATCAAATAAATATGCACAAAAGAATATGCCTTCAATGGAATGTTTTCAAATTTTTTTATCGAGTACACTTACAGTTAAGTAACGATATGTGAATGAACTTGATGCGGATCGTAGGAAAGCTACCACAATTACATAATCTGATATAAAAAAAATCCATTAACACTTACTGAACACACTTCGTTGATATGTATTCTTGCAGGAAGTCGTAATTTTTGTTGCATCTGGCGAAAAAGTATCCGTGAAGAGCGGAGAGGTTTACGTAGACGGCGACAAATTTGAAGTCACTACTGAAGCCAAAAGCACAAATGGAAATAGTGAGTAAAGGGAAATAACTTTAATTACCAGTTATTGTCATATCATTAGTTTTAAATGAGTTGGTATTTTTTGTTATAGGATAAAGTATATTCCTTTCAGACCTGATCACTACAAAAATAAAATGCAGCCACGCATCTTTTATGAAAGATGAAGTCGGTTTTTTTTTTTAAATGTAGATAATAAAAGCTTAGTCTAAGCATTAATTGATGTACATTTTGCGTAATATTGCTCTTAATAGACTCTATCTTAAGATATTGATAATCCACAAATTTACAAGGAAACTAAACTCAACAAAACGAAAACAACTTATACCTTTTAAGGGGAAAATAATGGAATTTTTGTTTAGGTTATCGTAAGTAGTTTTTCATTTTTTATTCTTTTAAGCGTACGATATTCTAAAGAAGGGCGACTGGATAATGATTACAACGGCGAACAATAATCTAAGACTGAAAGTAGATTACTTTTCAACACTGTATCTCACACTTGACGACAGTCTCCATGGAACTGCAAGTGGGCTCTGTGGAAATTTCAACGACGACTTTAAAGGTAAAATCTCAACCATGAGTATATAGTTTGGTATTATTGTTTTGTTTCATGTTTATTCTGCAAACGGATAAAACATGTTGAATTCTCGATTCAACATTCAGACATCATTGCACTTGTGGTACTTGTTAAAGAAAACGTCAACAAATATGATTAGGCAACCAGTGGACATAATAAGAATGTACTAAAATATTAGGATGCCTGAATCTGGATATATTGACCAAACATCTTATCTAAATGTTGACAATAGGCTATCTATCCCTTACCGTCAGGTTGAAGGTCTACCTAAAACCAAATTAAAAAAGGGAAGCTGACTCCACCAAACGTGCGATAATGCAAATATGCGCTATGAAATAGTTTAATCAGGAAAGAAGAGAGGAAATAAATTATCTACTCACCTTCGATCAACATGATAGCTAAAGCAGGCAATCGAAGTCGTATCTGCGGAGTTGTCATTGTATTTGGCGATTTATTGCAAATGAATGATTATGTTCAAATGTATATTGGATGATTGTTGAATATTTGTTGTTATTGTAACAAGTAGAATATTTTGTCTATCTTACAATTATATATTACACTGCGACAATATTTTACAAATGTTACAGATGATCTAAGAACAAAAGCCGGTGATCTTACGACAAATCCGTCTAATTTTGGAAATTCATGGAGAACAGACAGCTCGGTAAGCATTCCTATTATTAGCTCGTTTATATACATTGAAATAACAACATAGTTCCCGAACCTACCAAGTCAAAGCTGCTGTTTACCGATAATGATGATGTATTTTGATGCAGTCTTAGAAAGTAATTACTAATCCTTATACATGGAATTGGCACCCAAGAATCGCCATGAAATAATAAAGCACAGTGATCTCATTGGTAAATCGGACATGCTTATCATATTCTGAAGCAGTATTTGTAGCTACATATTTGTCATTGTGAGCTCCCTAACAATCAACCCTTAAGTTGAGACTTTGAACCGCAAGTATAACTCAAATAAGGTAATCCTTCACTTCTGGTGTATCGCAATTAATTTGATATTCAAAAGCTATTATCATGTCAACCGTCCAGGGGACGAAAAAAGAATATAACTACTATATATATCTGCATGTCGTAAGAGTTGTGCACCATTCCATTTAGATCAGATAAGGTTTCACCGTTTTGGTTTGTTCAGATGATTAGATAGTCTAATGATACAATTAGATGGAATGTTGTATTTCATTATATTATCGTGTACTCGAATCTTGATGTATTTTTCTTTTTTGAGTCTCTATGCTTTGTGTCCACTCTTAGTGCCAGAGATCGTAGATGAAGCAGAAGAAGTTTCTTTCTAAAGAGCTAGTTTTCATCATGTCTCCATATACACTGCCTTAATTTTTGGCCTTTAGTTGATTACTCGCACCTGTGGGAAGACTTTGGTAAAGTCCCCTAACCCAGCCATATCCTAATCTGAGAAAACGGTTGTTACCTATGTCAGCATTGTCTTATGAAAAGGAAGAAGAATTATATATATAGTTTATCATTATTATCATTCGAAATATATTGATTGATATGTAGAATTTCTTCGTATTTTGTGTTCGGATTACATGATCAGATATTTGAATCTATATAAAGATTTAACCGTGACCCTAAAATCAACTATTCTTTGACACATTCATTCGCTGTGATTACTGGCCGATAAAGGTGTATCATTAAACATCCTACTTTTCAGTGCTCACCAACAGGACCAATTGTCGATAACTGTCACGACCTTGCTATGAAATCAGAAGCCATGGAAGCCTGTGGCATATTAAGAACAGGTCTTTTTAGAGATTGCAGGGCTAAGGTTTGTAAATTATTTCCTGATATATATAAAGATTTCCCTACAAACGAGTTGCAATGGATAAATAGCGAAAAAAAATACTAAGAATAATTTCTGTAGACGATTTAACAACGGATTGCTTTCGATACACATATTGCTATGTAATATATCTGCAAATGCAAATCAAACTATGTTGCGTAATGACAATTAATGTGAGTTAAATCATTGTGTTGTATCTGGTGAGTTTAATTTGGGTGATTGGAAAGACAAACAAACAAAAAGTTAAATGATAATTTCCTATTGATTTCAACTGATACGGACATTTTCGACATACCCATACATTACCCTAAATCATTAAACTATCGGTTGTATTAAAGTAACGATGTTATATTGTTTTTAGAAAATTTATTACGGGGAAATGAACATTAGGATAGCGTCAGTATTTTTTCCCGCTTTTCAGATTAGCTATGTCACCTGGTACCAGATGTGTGTAAATGAGTACTGTAAAGCAGACGCAGATAAAAAGGAAAATGTGCGATGTTATCATGTAGGCGCATTCGCCCATGAATGTGCCCAAGTAAACATAATCGTCTCCTGGAGGAGCAGAGATGTTTGCGGTGAGTATGCAATGGATGTTTGTCTCGATATAGTATCAGCGATTTATTTGTCATAAGTTATGTACGAAGGACCGGAATGTGAAACGCAACGTTCAAGCAAAACACAATTACAGCCAAGCCAAACAAACGAATTACCAAAACCGTAGAGCTGTTTCATTAAGACAGGAAATAATGTTAAAACCACTGATCAAAACTACATTTGTATATATACCTACCCTATCGTTGTGTTTTCTATATGAATCATACTATAGTTCTGTTGTTATCATTGATTTTTACTAAGAATATTATTAAGTTATAATGAAAAGTGAATGTCTTTACAAATTAGTCATTGTCGCGCCTGTGTTATTTGTTTATCTTCAGCTCCATCGTGTCCCGACGGTCTCGTATATAATGAGTGCAGTTCGCCTTGTCCCCGATCATGCTCCAATATATTTGCTGATCTGTCAGAAAGTTGCTCAACCAAAGGACCATGCGTATCTGGATGCGAATGTCCCGTTGGTACTATCTTACAGGATGGCAAATGTGTGTCGCCCGACGAATGCAAATGTAACTACAACAAGGAATACTATTCGCCAGGGGATGTAATAAAGAGAGATTGCAACGAATGGTATGTTTTGAATCTGTAAAAAAAACTTTTAAGTAGTATGTTTTTCTAAATGTCTGTTTAGATTTGATAATATTGTTCGTCAGTGAGTACCACAGGTTGAACACCGTTATGCATAACAAAACGTGTCACCGTATATATATAATATATGACTTTGTCAGTTAGTCCGAAATGCTACTTGATTCTGTTTTGCAATTAAAGTGAATGCGAAAAAGGGGTATGGATATGTACAGAGGAACGATGTTCGAGCACGGCTAGAATTTTCGGCGTGACGCATATAGAAACGTTTGATGGCCAAGAATACGACCTGGACCCGAACGTCGCAAAATACGTTTTAGTTGAGGTAAATTCTGAAAACCGACAAACAAGCAGACATACACATTCTCACTCAAATGTTAATCTCACGCATTGAAGGTCGGCTTTTTTTCTCCTTTCTTTTAAAGCTTTCACATTTCTGAAGGAATTTTGTCGGAAATGAATAATTGTTGATGCAAAGCAACACATAGTACATGATTAAGTAACGCTTCAAGTGATTTAAAAGCTTGTTATATAATGAGAAGATTTTTATTGAAAAATAAAACAATTGTATTTAAAATATTTCACAATGCTTTAGATTGATTTCTTTACTGCTGATAGAATGTTTATGTAGCTCCGTTTAATGTCAAACAATTACAAAACATTCTTATTGAACAAAGGAAATAATCGTATTATAAAAGCCTGCCCGATTTAGCACAAAAAATTATTATTATTTTTGTATATATCCATCCTAATTACAGCGCAGTGACGAGACTGAAGAAGACTCTCGCTCAGACCTTACAGTTGAGATGTCCTTCGACAGCTGTCCTGTGATTGATTCGTCATACAACCGAAATTGTCTGTCGGCTGTTCACATCAAGTACAAAAGCACGCACATAACACTTAGAGGAACTGAAGTATTAATCAACGGTGAAGTTATTCATGGAAACAGCTTCTACTATTTCCATTCCCAAGACGTTTACATCAAGCAGGCTACAAATTTATACATAATGGTGAAAGGATTCGGATTCCAGCTCCTGTATGACCAATCTAGAGCGGTTTATTTAACACTCGATCGGTTTTACATGCACAAGGTATATATATATTAAGAAAACTGAAAAGTTGAAATCAGTCTAATATTCACATTGTTTTTTTTTATTTGACATTATAAAGTGAACAACGGATGAAGAAGAAAATAGCGGAACATTCCAATTACAGGGTCTCAGTTCGCTATGGTTGAAAGGGTTACTGTTTTTAATGTCTATAACAATGCCATGTTTCAATGCATGTTACAGAATAAACTATATTTCTGCTGTTGTAGGTTCGCGGGTTATTCGGAACATACAACGACAACAAGAAAGATGATTATATGGCGAGAAATGATTACCCCGCGGCTGAGCCCCATCTGTTTGCACATGACTACAGCGACAGTGTCAATTCTCCAAAACAATACACTCGAATTCATCAGTCCTCAGCGTTGGTGAGTCACATATAACGAACACACGATGGTATTAAACGTCATTTCAATTCTATGGAAATAAGGTTTATTCTTGACTATTTTGTTAATTTTATATATCATTGTGTATCGAATATTGCACTTTTATAATATTTCATATAAGTGTCTAACTGCGCATAGTTAGATGTTGATTGCGATATGAAAATCGATTTCTGTAAATTAAGACTTGAAATTACAACTGACAGGGAACTTCTGGATATGTTGTGCAAATTTGATGTTGATATAGTGTATACTCTTTACATGGATGCAAATTTCACATCGATGTTATCTGAATATGGACACATATGTAATTAATGAATCGTTATATGTATGTTTAGCTGAATAGCAACCAACTTAATAGCTATATTGATGATTGTAGGCAGAAGAGGCGGCTAAACTCTGTGAGCTTCTTAGCACGCACGAGGTCTTTTCTATGTGCCTAGGACGTATTGATGTAAAGTATTATATATCCAAATGTGAAGATGACTACATTTCAAGTAGTGTTGAGGGTCGTGACAAAGTGTTTTGTGATGTAACAGCTGCTATGGCGATGGAATGTGCGAATATAGGCAAAAATTACATTGCCGCTTGGACGGAAGCCACTGAATGGAAAACTAGATGCAGTAAGTGTTATCGTTCCATTTTCGGTTGTACACGGCGCTGTCTATTGTTTTGATACGACATAGAAGGCTGTATCTATCAGATGAAATTTGTTGTAACTAAAGAAAAGATTCATTCCTACAGCATACGATTCATATATTTTGATGATATTTGTATTATAGCTATCTTTTTGGAATAACATATTTTGAACATTTCACTAAAGCTGTCTGGTCTAGTAAAACATAGTAGGGTTTGTACCGAATATTTCCATTGAAACTTTCCAAATGTATTGTTTACATACATTAGGCAAGAATACAGTAAATATGATCATCTTGAATTTGAAATGGATGTTTTATGATTGCTTTAGATACTGGTATTCACCTCTTTCATAACGTTTTTGATAGGGTTTGTTATTATTAATTTTTATTATGTGACACGTTTAGTAAGAGTTGTCGTTTTCTATTTGATTATTCGTTTTTTATTTGTTCTGCTTGTTTTAGTGTCATATTCACGGTGTACATATGGAGGGTCCTATACCGAATGTGCTTCCATATGCAACGGGAGATGTCGCGATACACAGATGTCAGATATGACCTGTCAAGAAATCTGTGTTCCTGGATGTCAGTGTCCAGACGGGCAACTGTACAACGGTGATGGACAAGGGGCTTGCGTAACCATTGACCAATGCACATGTTTTAACCACTATGACGGCAGCTATGTTGAGCCAAACACGAGTACACGACAGGGATGTACAAATTGGTAAGTGTTTGAAATAATGGAGAAATATTCTGTATTAAACCACATATTCAAGCTGAACGATGTGATCATTTTTAATTTGAAATATATAATTATATTAATGCCGACTTTCAAAATTAATTTTTGAGTCAGGATCCATGGTTCATAATCCCTATATATTGCAATCGATAAGTGCTGAGTATTTTATCTGAGAAAAGTATCGTTTTCATTTTTTTATTTTATATATATATTTTATTTCATATCTATCTTTTTATTTTTTGAGTTATAATAACTCCCATTATCGTTGATATTACCATAAAATATTATTTTTTTAATTTGAAATTTGCAGTACTTGCGTAAACGCAGCTTGGTCATGTGACAATGAGAACTGCGACGAAGACATTGTTTGCCCGAAAACTCAAATATATAAAAAGTCCATCACCGGCTGCGAACCAACTTGTGATACAATTGATCGGACTATCGCATGCTCCTCTGCAATTACATACGATGGATGCGGATGTCCTGAAAATACATACAAAACTCACGACGTACGTACATAAAGAAGCTTTCTTCTAAATTTCAGAATCTCAGAAAATGTAAGCAGACAGAATCATGATGATATGGCTTTTATATGAAATCTATTTAAGTAACCCAACAAAACATTACCGAAGTAATCTAAAAACCATTTTCAACAGTACCTTTCGCTCGACCTCTTTTCCGTTGGGATGCACTTGTTACTGATGACGATTTTTACATTATATAAACAGGCAGATCGAGAGGGGGCAGTTATCCAAAGCGATTGCAAAAAAAAAAAAAAAAAAAAATAGATGGAGAGGTGGTGATGCTAAATGACGGGACGAGATATCAGCCGTATGCATATGTATCTAGAACCACGTCAACGTTATCATATAGTTCGCTAGAATATACGTTCCTATAACAAAAACCGCAGAAGATTTGAGTAAGACATTTCGACAACTACACCGTCGCTGTCATCAGAATTAAACATCTCCGTCATTTTTATATTTCTTTTAATTGAATAGATTATAAAATACAGGTAGTACTGGCAAGTATGGTAAATATGTGTATTAACAGTTGTATACCTACAGCTGTTAAAGTAAAATCACAGGTAACATTGGGCTGAAACACTGGGCGGTCACGCGCTAAACTCATTACATATATGTATCAACGATTTTCTCCCATTACCTAACTGTGGTTAGGCAAGATTGACTGTATGGCAAAAACCTTTCCAATTGTTCACTCGTCCCCGTTCGTTCTTTCGTCTGTTCGAGCTTTCGTTTGGATTACAGCGGCCGAAACCAGGTGAAGCGGTTCGGCTTTAGTAATCGATGGCATCGACTAGCCACCGTTAATCCTGCGGCCAGCCACCGTCTGGCAACCGTTCGCTCACCGTTTGGCTATTCTTTTGTCCAACAAGAAGTCGATTTTAAAGCGTAATCATAACCGAAGTCTACCTTTTGATGTTATACTTACATATCTACATTGCTTAATCCATTGTGACAACAAGATATAAGATCAAAATGATTTTATGTCAAAGTATCAAATTATATTGAATAAAATACAAAAAAATGCAAAATATAATGGATACATGCTTAGTGTTTCAAGACATCTAGGTCAATGCATCGTGTCAATGAACGATATCATACAAAAATATAAAATACAATGGATGCATACTTAATGTAACCAGTCAATACAACGTGCCAATCACGGTATCAATAATGTTTTTGTTTTAATATTTAAAAAAATTCTCTTAATATGTATACTTGTCTTTTGATCACATCGATTTTATATTCAGAAACAAGTAACACGTATTTATGTATTTTATTGATTTCTGAAGATTTCGCAAAAACAACTATGGTTGAATTCATTTATTTGCATTTGCGTATTTACGGGAATTGCCTAATGTATTGAAACTATTTACTTCATATGGAACAGATTTTCTTTACATTATTTCGTTTTGTCTTAAAGTTTGAAATCCGTTTTACGAATTTAGGGACGATGCGTCAAGAAAAACTTGTGTCCATGCACTCGAGGAGGAGAATATTTTGAACCAAACGCAATGTTTAATGATGCTTGCAAATCATAGTGAGTTCATTGCTTTATACTGTAATATTAGCATGCTAATTTTCGTAAAGCGGTTCGATTGGCCTTATATGATTAAATTGGAAACACGACCTTTGAATTATTTATTATGTTTTCACTATGATAACCAAATTGAATTAATCATTAAAGTTTTTTTTTTGTGTAATTTTAAGTTATATACTTGATATGTTAACTTTCATGCATTGCAATGACTGCCTTGCTAAGATACCGAAACGACATTATTTTACCTGCTGAATGTTATCCGAATTACCTACTTTAACACTAGATATTACAGATATGACGAAAAAGTTTCAAGGTAAAATTAATTTATGTTCAATTGCAGTCGCTGTGTAGACAGGCATTGGTTGAAAGTTAGTGAAACTGATTGCCCAGGTATGTCTGAAATTTACATTATTCATGCACCTTAACATAAGCTTTTTGTATATTTCAATTTACTAGTCTCTAATTATTCAAATTATTTGATAAATTTATATATAATATATATTCTTTCTCTTATGAATTTGCTGAAACATATATATATGTGCAAAAGTTAGTAAGCAGGTTTGTTCTATTACACGGAAAACACACTGGAGCTATTAGTATGCTGGCATATAAACAATATTTTGTAATGCTAAGCGATTCATTGTTAATGTCGTTTAAAAGGTGTGTGCTGGGCCTCGGGAGATCCTCATTACCAGACGTTTGATGATGTTCATTACTCATTCCAAGGAAAATGCGAGTACACACTTGTACGGGACAATAATGCTCTCAACCGAGAATTTGAAATCAGTACCACTAATGTTGAATGTGGAACTACTGGCGTATCATGCACAAAATCGATCATCATCAAAACAGGACAGACCCAGGTTCAACTGATGCGGGGACATCCACTTAAAATTAATGATGTGGCTTATACTGACCGTCTTATCAACCTTGCAAATCTTAACATAACCGTAGAGTTTCCTTGGACATCTGTCTTTGTGAATGACTTTTCAGTGCTATGGGACAATGGTATGTAATCCAGATTCAGATCTATTTTATTTCATGAGTTTAAAGGCCATAGTGTTAAATACAATGTGATATCCGGCAGGTATGATTTGACTTGTTGCATTGTATTTTACACGCAATACAATGTATATCAATGTTTTATCCGGATTAGAAAAAAATAATTAAAATGACAGCTTTGCCTAATTGTTTTCGATTCGCCTTCTGTTGTCTAAATGGATTAACAATAATTCGTCTCCTCACAGGAACACGAGTATTTATTTTCCTAAATTCAAGATGGAAAGGTCGCGTGGAAGGTCTGTGTGGCAACTTCGATGGCTTAGACAACAATGATTTTCAGGCACAGAGTGGAATTACAGATCCCACGGATATAAATGCTTTTGCTAATTCTTGGAAGAAAGCTACATATTGCCCCGATGTAGAAAGCGATCGTAACGAGCTGATACCTTGTTCGGTAACGTATTAGAAATTTGATAATGACCTTCTTATATCTTCCTAGGCATGTACCTATAAGGAAGGTTAACTTTTTGTCGTCCGCTAACAAAGAACCGTCTACAGAAACCTGAAATACATGAGAAATAACGGTTGTTTAACATTGTCCTTCTGAAGTAAATGGTTTTGTCACTTATATATATATACATGACTTTTCAGGGAGATAAAGCGATCCGAAAGACTTGGGCAGAAGAGACTTGTGGAATTATTAAAGAAGGGGATATGTTCGCTGCCTGCAGGGACAAAGTCAGCAACTACCAAGATTATTATGACGATTGCCTGTTTGATGCGTGCAGGTTCGTATATGATTAATAGTTTTCTTTTTCGTTTTTTGTTTGTTTTGTCTACATTTTGAAACCAAACATAGCAACAATTCATTGATGCTAAGTCACTTTATTACGTATTTGGTATTCTGAAAGTTCATATACTACAAATGATTTGTTCGATTGACAGCTGTGATAAAGGAGGAGACTGTGAATGTTTGTGCACAGCCGTTGCGAATTTTGCAGAAGAATGCAATAGAATGGGTATTTTTGTGAAATGGAGAACACCCAGATTCTGCCGTAAGTAGATAAAAATGGAATGATAAAACATGCAATTGATTGATAGACAATAGTTTATCTCTTAGATCACTATTTTGCGGTGGATAAAAAATGCTATCGTTGTTCTTTGAATCTTAAGGATAAACAAACTCAAAACCAAATTATCATTTATGATGAATATTTCTGTTGTAGCAATAATGTGCGAGAATGGATTGCGGTATACTCCATGCATGTCTCCCTGTCGTCAGACATGTAGAAATATTGGCAATGAACCAGAACCATATTGCAACAGCACACAATGCGTCGAAGGTTGTTTCTGTCCAGAGGGATACATTCAACACGGTAAATGCATTGTTATATTTGTGGCTCAAAGGTTGATAATGTTAAAACGAACGTGGGAAATGTCAATGAAGTTTGCCATTTCTTTTCCCTAATGGTCTTTTTTTTCGAGGCAGCTATATTTTTTGTTCGTATGTTTTTGCTTATTTTTGTGTTTTGCGGTTTCTTTTTTCATCATCATCATTATCATCATTATCATCATTATCAAATCATCATCATCATTATCATCATCAAGCCACCAATATAGTATCTTAATCAATATTTCATCATCATCCATAATTTAACTGGTTTGCATCTGGATGAATGAATTTAAAAAAAAAATATGCGAAGACATAAATCTAATTAGATGGGTGTTTGCAAATAGGTTGCGAGCCTTTGTATATGTAAAAAGGGGCAATACATTTGGTACATTGCATTCTATATGATATATATATAGCTCTAGAATAGGTTTCCATGTTTGCCAAAAGTTTTCAAACGTCCATAGGTTTAGTTTACTTTTATTTCATAGCTTTGAACAAGGAAGTGATATTTAATAGTATTAATGAGTCCATTAATTTGTAATGATTTACTGAAGGCGCCTGTTTATGTGGATAGCAAGAATTAGGATGTTTGTCATCGATTGGACTACAATTTTGTCCTCTTAGCCTCTCGTATGTAACTCTTTTTTCTTTTTGTAAGAAGCATATGCAATGGGATTTCGTCTTATTTGCATTAATAAAGTTTTTAATGAGTTGATCATTTATGTTTGTGTGTGTGTGATTTATGCACGTGCTGGAACATTAGAGTTTTTTAAATACAAATTACGTCAACGATAAAAACTAACATGTTCACTTTTCAGATGATGGTTGCATTCCGGCTGATGAATGTCCATGTTATGAAAATGGAATTGAACACATCAGTGGATCAGTGATTACTCACGAGTGCATGAAATGGTGAGTTGCATCGGACTCAATAGTAGTCTTTGTTCAATTGCAATTTCTTTCTTTATCCGGTAACATATCCGATTGTATTTTTGAACATGTTTTAACCAAAACGTGTTGATATTTGTATTTTTGCACAGTACATGTATTCGGGGTAAATTTGAATGTGAAGGTTACAATTGCAAGCCGAAATGTAAACCGGAACAATTTACTTGTGACGATGGACAGTGTATCGGTGAGGTTTATGTATGTGATGGACATTTTGACTGCAGAGATGGATCGGACGAAGCAAAATGCAGTAAGTATTGATAGATAATTTTCAACATAAAAACTTGATTGAAAGTTATTGTGAATTTACTTTGCTGATTCTTTGTCTATAACCAATACATTAGTACTTCTACAAATGTTATCATTTAAATAATAAAGCTATTCAGAAATAAAGGCGTTTTCGGTTGTACTAAGATGGATCCTTTCATTGCAGATTGTACCTCATCGCAATTTACTTGTCAGAATGGAGCTTGTATAGATATGAAGGATAGATGTGATGGCTTTAAGGATTGCGCTGATTCATCTGATGAATGGTATTGCAACCGTAAGCATCTAACTTTCTGTCACCTGTATTAAGACATTATATGTGAATTTTGTATAACCATTATGAACTCTGCTGTTTTAAAACGTCTATATAGATGTTTGAAAAAATAGATTTTGTTTGTAAATGGACGATAGTCATTCAATGAATGGGACCCATACGAACTGATAATACAACAACACATCACCTTGCCAAACCACACAACTATATTAAGAAAATATTTTTCTTTTTCTATTTCTAATAGTAAGGTTGAGACTTAATATATGAATACATTAAAACTCGCTTTAATTTACGTATGCTGCGAGGTACAATATATGCATATATTTGTGTCATACACGTCTGCATTGGCTTTGAGATAGGTCAGTAAATATAAAAGTGATAAAATTGGTATTGATTTTGGAACACTGCAGTCCAGGTCAGAAGTGTCTGCATAAGTAAAGAGTATTTGTGCTGCGAAAGGATGACATGGCTTCTTGAATAGCTCATTTCGTTTGCTTTTCGGGAGGCAGCAAATGTTCGAATTTTTTTTTTCGTATGCTATTCATCTCCCATTCGCTAAACAGTCAAGCGTTGCAACTGTACCAAACCATTCTAAAATATATATGGTATGGTGAGACAGTAGGATATTGTTAATTTTGGGTTTTGTATCTAAGAAAACAGTTTGAAACAGTATAAGTAATATGCACACAGGTGTGTACATTACACATGGAGGTTATATAAAGTTTTTAAAAAATATTCACATAGAATCATGTATACCAATGAATATTTGATTTTATCATTCGTTCACCTGTTCAATGTTTTTCCTGTGTAAATTATACCTTCACTGATAATTTTTGATTGTTTAATCTTTCATAATTAATATTTTGTGAACACACTGGTGTATGTTTTAGATACATGTGAGGCTTCAAAATATGAGAAATTCCAATGCGATAACGGCGACTGTTTACCTGCGTCGTTTCGATGTGATGGCAACTATGATTGTCGAACAGACATATCAGATGAAGTGAACTGTACAAGTAAGTATATCATATTATGGGCATGATATAACTTTTTATTACAAACCTCGACCAGAACATTATTCTAACACTAAAAGTAGTATTTAATTAAGATATACTTTTTTCAGTGAAGTTTTCTTATTCAAATTATCATATTTTTATTTTTTTTCTTCAATCACATGCATCAATTTCAAAATCTCAATGAATTGGTGTTAGGCTATGTTAGTCATAGCCTAGATATTTATATCTGATTACATTATAACGTATTAAAAGTAAAGCGGGTAATATTTAGGCTTTGTCATTTATTTATGCTACTAATTAACATTATTGTCAATTGTGATTCTGCTGATATGTCGATTTTTTTTCTTGTTAAAATTTTGTTGTTCTTCCGAAAAAAGTGTATCGATACCAAATTTGTTGACAAATGTAACGAATGATATCTTAAAATGAAAACTGTCCTTGTTGCCTTTTTTTTCTTCATGTTTATTACATTCTATTTGATTATGTATATGTAATGGTTTTATTTGCATATGTCAATTACATAATTTCAGTAACAGAGAAGTGCGATATGTTGCATCACTTTAGATGCATTGAAACTGGGAAATGCATACCCAAAACTATGGAATGTGACGGTCATGACGATTGTGGAGATGGCAATGATGAGGCTGAGTGTGAGTATTATGTTTTAGATTAATACCACGACGGATAGATCACATGACATGATTACGGGCCTTGCTTTGATATCCAGCAGTAACAGTTCGTGTGAGACATTAAATTCCTTTGCTCTGTTGACAGTATTAGATTCATGGTTTTAGTTGATTGTAAACGGCCGTTTTAATATAACATAAAAAAATATGGAAACTTGAAATGCATATCTGAATGTACATACCTTGCAACACATTGACTGTTTTTGTTCCGATTGTAGGCACTACCACAGCGCCCACAACAACAACAACAGTAACGACAACAACTACATTGCCATCCACTACTCCAGAATGTGAATACGTTAATGGATTTGAAGGAGGTTTCGTTAAACCAGATGAAGTTAAAGTTTTGTCAGACGGTGACAACTTTGGGGTATCTCGAGATATATTCCCTGATAAAGGACTGATAATACCGTGGACAAATATAACTATATTAATAACACTGAAACAGTCTGTTACACTTGGCTACCTCGTATTCCAAAACCCAAACAAAAGCAACATACAACAGGCACAAATTGTTGTTGGTGGACAGACAGTTGCAACAGTTAAGTAACAGTTTCGATATACAACTATGTCATTGTCATCCCCTGTTTCCACCAATGTGCATATTTCCATGTTAGTCAAATATTTGCTCTTAGCAAGGGAAATGGTTACTTTTTGTTCATACTATCATTGACAATTTACAATATTAATCAATCCGAAACTGCCATATTTCAATGATATCGTGTTATATTCATACAAATGAGTTCATTCCAAAAGGAAAATGAATTATAAACAATTTTTCAATCTATATTTATTTCAGACATCTGTTGATAAACCAATTCCATTACACGGTGTATTCAGTGACAACATCGTAATATTGATTAAGAGCAGAGTAGACCTCACCGTTGGTGTTACAGTCAGTATTGAACTCCAGGGCTGCTTTTACGGTAGGTCTATTTTGATAGATTTGAATGATACTTCATTACAAATAGTTACCGCTTTCCAGGTGACATGTAAAGCTCGAATGCACTGGGTAAGTAGGTTTCTGTCAAATTATGAACTAGTTTTATACTTTGGTAAATATGTAAAGCCACAAGATTGCATTTATGTCGTAAAAATACTGATATTGTTTCTGCCTTCCAATGATATATTTGTCTGCGGTGATAATTTTGCTTTATAGAAAGTGTACTTAAATTGGTCTTATTGAAAAAAAATATCATTACCCTTCAGGATTATTACTTTTATTTCATATATTTATATCGTTCTATTATCAAAACAAATCAACGACATGTGTGTTAATCAAGCTATGTATCGTAATGATTCTGTATATCTTGCTCCCGAGGAGATGTCGCTTTTTAGAACCTCAGCATTTTATAACACTACCGTGTTTAAGACATATTTTTGGATTGTAAATAATTGATGATACTGTTTGTACTTTTAGTCACAAAAGAAATGCACTAATCTAGAGCAGTCTGCTATTTTTTTCCAAATATGCGTTTTCATATTGCTGTTTATCTATAGGGCAAGTATTTCATAGTTGTCTCAGAGTTGACAAATTGATGGAAATTAAATTTTCCGCATATTTGTACATTGGTATTCATGGTTTTAATTGACTGTAAAATGTTTGCTGCACATTTAATCCCTTCGGTAAATGTTACCAACATGATAGTATACTCCAGGTTTTATGAAATAACTTGTATATATATTTCTGATAACATGTTTCCACTGAAGCGATGATTATTTACTCTCTTTTTTTGTTGCTTGCTTATCGCTAGTCTGTTAACCATGTTAAATTTGTGCCATCCAGTCATATCGACGACGACTCCGTCAACACCGACCACGTCTAAAAGTACATTTACATCGACAGTGTCGACTTCCACCCCAACAACAAAAGGTAAAGATATTTTGTAATATCGACATATATTTCTGGTAGTTTGCGATACTTGTTTTTGCCGTGCTTCAGAGTAAATCAACGATCACATCTACGAATACATCTACGTCGACAGTGTCGACATTCATCTCAAAAAGTACAGGTAAACACATTTTGTAATATCGATATATATTTCTGGTCGTTTGCTATATTTGTTTTTGCCGTGCTTCACAGAGTAGAATGTAACATTGCTTTTTTATGAAATATATCATGAGATCAAGTTTACGTCATGGAGTTTTGGTGATTACATCGTAACGAGTATAAGATACGCACAGCGCTTTATTGCTCGTTTGCGTTGACTGTGGGTATTAGATGAATGGTTAGCATTAAGTGAGGAATAGGTCTCGACATCTTAACTTATGCTTAAATTCCAGCGAAACGCACAAGAAGCAGTATGTTCCTGCTGAAGCAAATGATCATCAAACAATATGTTATCAACATTAAAAAACAAATCACCAACGTTTACTTTTCGGCTACATAACACAAAAATGTAAGAATTGTACAAACGAAACATTCTCAATGTCTCTCCATAATATCTACTAAACTCAAACTTTGCATTTTGCGGTATTGATCAAGGTAAATTGCTTGCACAAGAGGGCATGCTTTAAAATTTAAAGAAACGTGCAAGACATCAAGTATCCCGCTGGTATGGGTTTTGTCAGCACTTAAATGGTACTGATCAGTTGTAGTTACCTGAATTATATAAAAACAAGTACATAACAGTAGAAACATACTGTCACATTCATTGCAATAATGAATCGTATATATTGTACATGTACCTTTTCCTTGATCCCTTTCATTTTTTTTTTTTACTTATTTATTTGGTCACAGTGACGACAGAAGTCAAACCGTGTGATATCACTGAAGGAATGGGCTCGCACATGAAAATACGTGATTCTGATATTTCCATCACGAATGTGAACGGGAATTTTAACATTGGTGATAACGGCAACAAGAACATTGCTGATTTAAGACCAGGTGGTGCAGGTTTGTTTTCCCAAAGAGATTCCATGCTTAATATCAACTTTGATGATATGCCGGTGAGATTAGCCTTGATGAACACGACTACAAATTCACCATTCAGCATCAAAGTGTCAGTTGTGGACGATGCAGGGGACGTTGAAGATATAGGGGTAAGCTGGATCTCGTTGTTATCAGTATTGCTCGCAATCGATTATATTAACTGCAACGCTAATAGAATACATTTGCCAAAATTTTAGGTATTCCAAGCACCAGCAATTGTAAAATTTGATGGCCAGACTTTCGTCAAAAGACTTCAAGTGTTATTCTTAGAGGAAGGAACCATCAACATGGAGTTGTTCGGATGCTTCCATTATGGTATGTTAACTTTTGTTATTCGTTTAATGTCACGATTTATCGTGAAATATTTTATTAGAAAGCAATTAACAGCAAAGGGTGATTTAACAATGAATCCGTAATGTACTAAACAAAAAAAGAAAGGTAACACTACTTTATTCTGTGATTAATTAATTAACCCCTTCATAACTCCTTACCAATCATGTATTGCAGTCATGGTTCATTATAAAACTTTGCGTTCAGTTGATTTTATTCGACTGTAAAGGACGTTGGGGTCAATTTCAAAGGTAACACCATTAGTAACGGGTATGGCCACCGTTCGCGAAGTAAACAGCATTGCTGCGTCGTCGCATGGAACTCGTAAACCGGCGGATAATTCGAGGAGAGATGTTGTTCCAGTCAGCGATCAAGGCTTAGGCCAGCTCCTGCAAGTTTTGACGGCTGATTTTGACGTTCTCTCACGCGTCGCCCAAGAACGTCCCAGACTTGCTCAATCGGTGACAAATCAGGTGATTTAGATGGCCAATCTAGCACCTGTACGTTATTCTGCTGCAAGAAAGTTCTGCTGACGCGACTGGTGTGCGCTGGTGCGTTATCCTGTTGAAAAATTGCCTCAACGCCATGGCGTCTTAAGAATGGCAGAACCACCGGTCTTAAAATTTCGTCCCGATATCGAATGCCGGTTAAATTGCCATGTAACACAACAAGCCTGGTACGAGTCCCCCCAACAAATACCACCCCAAACCATTACACTTCCGCCGCCAAAGCGGTCCCGTTCTGCGACGCAGCAGTTCGCAAAACGCTCCCCTCTTCGCCTCCACACTCTGCGCCTTCCGTCACCGTGTTGCGGACAAAACCTGGACTCATCTGAAAACAGAACATTGTTCCATTGTCGTAAGGCCCAACGACGGTGAACACAGGTCCAGTTACGCCGATTATTACGGTGACGTCGCAACAAATTGGGTCCAGTGTTGGGACGCCGCGCTTTCAATTGGTAGGCCCTCAACCTGCTGCGGACTGTTTGGGGAGACACACGACGCCCAAACAATGTTCTTGCAGTCTCTACTGCGGTTACGAATCGATTGCGCAAGTGTATCAATCGTATACGACGGTCATCCCTGGCGGTCGTTTAACGGGGTCAGCCGCTTCGGGGACGATCGGATGTTGACCCAGTTTGGTTTAAACGACTTACCAACTGGCAAATTGTCTTAACACTACAACAAAAATGCCGTGCAACTCGACGGCAAGACTCCCCAGCCTGGATCATGCCTACAGCCCTTTCTCTTTGTACTTGTGAAAGCCGGGGCATAATGATGAAGTTGATAGATAGCAAGATTCGGTGATTTCTAAGTCCTAAGGATCTAGGGGACAGTTGTCAGTTTGAATGTTTATGAAATTCAAGCGAGGATACAAGTTAGTTGACGTAAAACCTCGTGCAGCTCTTTCGCTAATACAGACCTTCACGCTTGAATGATTTTGGTAACCCCCCTTGGATTTTGTAAAACATTACCATTTTCTAATATTGCACAAACGTCATTTTGTTTTCACTCATTTACAGGTATTCGCCAAGGAAACATGTTAACCTTTCTTTCTTTGTTGAGTATACTGTGAAAGTGAATACTTTTTATGATGGCAAATTATATGATATATAATGTTTATAACTTTCTGGTCATTTTGTAATGGTATATAGAAATTCATGAATTAACTCAATAATATTGAGAAGAATAAATGTATGCGACACCACTATTTGTAATGTTTGTGGTAACACTAGAAATAAAGCAGGTTGTCATGGATCAAAGTTCGGCCAGTAGCGGTTCTGTAATCGAAAATGCATCAGGTTACCTTATGATGTGAGTAGCAAGAATCAAAACGGTCTACAAAGGGAGGCAATTCAAATGTTTAAGTTGCATAATGTGAAAGAAATTATGACAAGCAGCATAATCGGTTTTCCTGAGTTCATGGATCGTCAACATCAGCGCATTCTCAGTACACCATTACCTAGCATTGAAACTTGTTTCAAAATTAATTACTATAAAAAAAAAAGAAGCAAATATGCTTCTACAATGTATTTCGAAGAGGCGAGGAATATTTCAGGAGATATGCCGATACTTCAGAATGAAACGGATATGCTTTGATATTGTATGCTACAATGTGTCCTGTGAGACAATTTGCTTCATTTGAGCACGCGGATATCGTTGCGGCCATCGCATATTTAGTTTTTCATTGGAAATTACATGCTTATTTCCAATAGAAGTTCACATGGATACACATTCAGATTTTTCTTCTGAAAACATATGTGTTACGGTGTAAATTGATTTAAAAGTAATAGCACTTCATTTGTAATGTTACTGTCTAAAAATGTCAGTAACGGATCTTAGTCGAAAACGCTAAGAAAATAACGATGCAGAGAAGACAATATTATTCTGACATTTGTTTTTTTACACTTAAATTTAGTCATACACAGTGTTAATCTTTTTCACAATATCAGGTTGCTATCAAATCATATCAAAATACTTAAGTAAAAACTGTTCATTCAGCAATGCTTTATTCATTTCTGGTAACTAGATTTCAGGTTATCCTAATATTGATGAATATGTAATATACCTTCTTGTCAAATTAGTTATTTCAATGACAGAATCAACAACAATATCATCAACGCTGCCAACATCAACACCAACAACAACATATGAAAGTACAACACAAACAATTCCAAGAGAGACGACAACAGAAAGTACAACAACTGTGCCCAGTACATCAACACATTCAACAGAAATGACATCGACAGCCTCAACAGGAGGTAACACGCCAACATCAACAGCGGAAACATCCCCTACAACATCATCAGAAAGGACTCTATCTACAGGAAGTACAAGTTCAACTACAACACCAAGAACGTCAGTCACAACAGAAACTATTACCTCATCAACGACAACGTTAACAACGATGCCTACCACAACAGCTAGTATGTTAAAACATATATTACAAGAGACCTGTTAATGCTAAATGTGATTGAATTACCCATTTAGCACCTAGAGGAAATGTGGTGAAGCTTACTAATGAAAATTATATTAAAGTATTGGTTTAAAGACTTTGGTTTAACAAAAGGAAGCACGCACCATTACATTACATTTTATTTGTGTCGATATCCACGTTGTCAAAATATCATAATATTTGTTTGTGATTGGTATATCAATGTAAGCAGTTGATATGATAATCTTGAATAATTGTTTTATTAGGTTGCGAAAAAGTTGAAATTGATGGCGATGACAATGAAATGTACATACTGAAGACACAATTATATGGGAAGAACATGCAAGATGCGATGAGGACAATTTTTGATGCACAGGCTTCCCTTGAATTCCCCACTGGATCTACACCTTTTGAAATTGAATTCAAATCGACGCTAACGGTTTTCAAAGTTACATTTACCATGGATAAAAAAAACAATGCCATTGTAGTGGTTGTAGCTGATTTTATTGGTAGTAACAATAGACCGGAAAAGGTAACTACTTCTAGAATAATATGAATACATTTTTTCCATTTATGAATTGAATATCTATGTCAAATGTTTGGCATATGCAATGTCCAGATTATTATCGAATGTAGAAAGTACAAATCAAATAACTGAAATAATTGTCGATATTTGAACATATTCAAGAATATTGTTTTAGATTATGCAAAATGTAATAATAGACTTTATTTCCCACAGACTAGTGAAGTATCAGAATCTGGTAAAGTTGAAGTTACATTCGACATACCGGGTGGCCTACCTGTTACACAGATCGACATCACATTTATTGGTGGTTCATATGTCGAGCTGAGCAATATGTTTCTGGAAGTATGTTCAAAAGGTGAGTACTTGTCTATGTTCTAAGCACGTTTTTAAACGTTTGTAATCCCAAATACAAAACGGTGGAGGATTAACAGAAAACGCAAATGCCAAATGGAAAACGAAAACGCAAAACCAATTACGCTAGACAAGAAATAGATAACAAATTATTTATATAATTACGGAGTCGTTAACTCTTTTAATTTACATAATAAAATGTATGGTATTCAATTTGATAAAGAATGTATACAAGCGTTACGTAAAGTTCTCCTCACGTGTTTGTACTCTAGTATCATTCGTCATTTCAACAAATTTGTAAAGGAAGCACATATAAACTCTATATTATAGTGATAACGTTTACATACGCTCTCATTTCTGTCAAATCGCTTTATAGAGAAGCGGTGACAACATCGACATATAGGAATTAATCTGCATTCGTAATGAATAATATCAGCCTTATATTATACCTTTAGTAATTACTGGTCTCAAAAGACACTGAAAATACGGGCTTGATCTTTGAAAATAATTACATCGATATCCAT